AAGTCTGTAATATCCTCATCAAGCATTTAACTTTATTTTCACTATTTTGAATCAGTATGATTAAGTATAGTCTAAACTGCAGGCTATACCACTGTCACTATTTATTATCGTTAAATATGTCATTAGTTCACAGAATTTCGCCAAACGACTATTTTTGGATACATAAGAACGGTTATCTAAAAAATATGATGTAACTGTAAAAGTAGTTCATAGATGATTGACGTTAAACACAATGACGACTGAACTGTCATCGAAAATACAGAAGACGTATACGGAATGCAAATGATAGCAATTCAAATTTAAAAAGAAAAATTGAAAAGAACTTATGCGTGGCCTTAAAAAGGGCTTTCTATAGGTATATTGTTCCAAACCTAATGATCATTTCTCTCCTATGGTTTTCCACCTTCCCATTCCCGTATTTCTTCAACAATCATCTAATAAAAAAAAGAAACAAGACGTTAGATTCTCAGTTAGTAGCTAAAATATGAACGTACCATCTTATTTGTTAGATGAAGTTTTAGTACGTCTATGTCTTCCATTACACCTCCGTAATCGTGTCGTATATTGGACAATGGAATCAAGGAATTGCGGTTGTAGGTCATAACCACAAATCGAGTGAAACATAGCATTGCAACGAGAAACAATCTAAGTCCTTACTTCAAGTGTTTCACTCAGTGGCTAAGCAAGATGGCTATCAGTCACATAGCCCATTGGCGAGAGCATATTCGTCTATGTTTTTGTTCCAATCATTGAATTATCCCGAGTTTATAGAAACAACATCATCTTCATGATCTAGCATTGCATCCAAATCCATGTTCGTTCGACAGATGGTAATATTTACCAGTTGGATTCCTGTTATTTCTTCATCCGTGGAAGTGAGGGCTTCGATATGAAGCTTAGGTGCCGCGGATATCGTCAACGGTGTTTGAGGCATCCTTCTGATTTTTTATGAAAATAAGAATCGCGAACCGCTTAATGGAATAATGTCGCCTTTTCATTATTTCTGATAGCTAGTACTTGGTAAGTCAATTACTTTCGTAGTTTGGAGAAAAGGTGATCACTCTAGGAATATTTACATTTTATATCACATTTCAGAAAATGATAACTGGTAATTACCATTTTGAAACTAATCGATTCATTTGACAAAACGGAACGAGATTTTTAATACAAAAATAACCGTGAGATAAATAGTATTTGTTCTAGTTGACCCATCTTTTTTCTCTCTATCACTTGTCAATTAATCAGGTGATAATTTTCGTCTCTCTGCCCAGGACGGTAGTCTCAATTCGAACTCACTAATTTCTAACCACCATATCAAGCTAGTAAGCCTACCGTGTCAAGATCATAGCCTAGATTGAGACAAGTTTTGAACTTTAAATGTTGAAGTCATATTCCAGAGTGAAACACTGGATATATCAACAAGTTACAGAAAGATCAGAAGGATGAGAGATCGACATCAAACCGGAATAATATATCTTTTGATGTCAAGTGAAGTGGTGCCTTATTAACTCAAGCTAAAGGTTCACAATTTTGTTTTATTACATTGTAATTACATTGAACTGACAAACTCATTGGAGAATCAGTTTTGAGATATTCATAAATCTTATTATTTCTTGATGTTAAACAGTGACAGTTGATATTTGAAAAGAAGTAATAACTCTGAATTATTTATGCACTATGATTTTTATATCCTATATAGTTTCCAACATCAGTGAAGTGGGGTAATAACAATTTTGTTTGTTATTGGGAGTTAAACTTGAGATATATTGATAAGTCAGCTAGAAGAATTGTTCACAAATGAATAATCCTTTAAAAAAAACTATTATATTATTGTAGGTATCAGTAACCAGCTTCAAATTCATTCACTAAGAAACCGTGCTTTTTGCGATAGTTGAATGCTTAAGCATTCATGATCTATGAATACTTGATTGTGTATTTCTAAAGTGTTTCAATATATGACAATCTCCACTGCACTTTAAGAATAACTATGCTTACGAATACTTCTCATTTATGGGTCAGAGAATTGTCCAATTGACAGATATGAAGATGTGCACTGCTGAGGAGTCCCATATTAGTACGAAAAGGCCATCTAGTGACTCCACGTTTTCTATGACTCATGAATTTAACTATAAAATCACTAAAAATTTTCACAAAACCCCTTCAGATATGAAGAAAAACGACAAATATAAAGGTCATAATAATATAAACTGAATAATAAGAAAATTTGTTTGACAGTAATAATATTAATTTCAATAATTCAGAGTATGAGTCAATTGAAGTTAGACCACCATAGAAAACCTGGAATTACTAAACGGCCGTTTCGTCCCAGTATAGGACTCTTCAGCAGTGCGCATCCACGATCCCGCCTATCGGTCTCGCGCGCAAGCGCTTAACCTCTAGATCACTAAGCCAGCATCGAATAATAATAAATTGTTCACAAATGAATAATCTTTTAAAAAAAATATTATATTATTGTAGGTATCAGTAACCAGCTTCAAATTCGTTCACTAAGAAATCTTAGTGGAAATTTCTAGTTATAAAGTCAAAGTACTTCATTAAATGATCTTTCTTCATCATTGTCAATCAAAAATGACAACACCAAAGTGACAGAAGTTGGTAATATAACATAAGTGATCGAATATTACTGTGCATTTTGCGATAGTTGAATGCTTAAACATTCATGATCTATGAATACTTGATTGTGTATTTCTAAAGTGTTTCAATATATGACAATCTCCACTGCACTTTAAGAATAACTATGCTTATGAATACTTCTCATTTAATGACTAGAACTGACTATTTCCCTAAATAGATTTGTTGAATAGTACAATCCAAATTACCAAGAACAACAAAAAAGAACGGTAAAAATTACTCCAATCCTTTTAGGATAATGTAGTCACCATGCATGGAATGACATAATAATGTCTAATTCTTTTAATCAATCATTGAATCGACTAAATGGTCAAAAGTTGATAAATTAATATAATTTACAAAGTGACAGAACTATATGGACAGCTTTCAATGCTTATACATAAAGTTAAACTGTTTCTAAAACTTAACTGCCAACACATTCGATCAACAGGGAATCGATTTGACAGTCAACTAATAGAAAAGAAAATCATGGTATATAAACCATGGTGAATAAGTAGCAAAAAAAGAATTTTCGGTATTCATTTGATAATAATGCATACTATCTACAACTTATTCCAGTGGTTACTATGGCTATGTTTTATTTATACACTTTTGAATTTTGATCTTTATGTCACTGCAGGTAAGCGATTTGATAAAAATATCTTTTATGTTCTATTTTCCATTTGTAATATATTCTTTTGACTAAAATAACTGATTGTTCACAAGTTTTTAATTCATACTAAAATGTTATTCTATTTCACTCGCTGAAAAGAAAGCTACTGTTTTAAGCAAAGAGGAATAGTGGCTAGCAGTGGCATCCAGGACGCACATTTCATTCTATTTGAGACTCGTCAACTAGGTGCGCCTACAGCTCAAGGTTGATGTTCACTCTGGGACTCGAACCCAGTCCCGTTCATTTCAAACGTTATCACCTTATCCATTTAGCCACTGAATCCTGATAGCCAATATCGAAGCAATACACGCAGTATACACATATGCCAATAACAGACTGGTCAATTGCAGTGCCAAATATGAATGGGACAATTCAAGTAAACAATACTATGTGAATTTAAAGCTACTATTAGTTTTCTATAAAACTATCGTCATCTGCTGTTATCAGGGTTAAACGATGATAGACTTGAATCTGGTGTTCATATCAAGTAAAGTATAATTGATTGGATTTACTGTTAGAATATTTTAAAGATTTTGAATATACAAATAAAATATTTAATTAAAGAAATTTGAGATAACAGCTAGAATTTATTTACTCTAAGGATTATCATTTACTTTCAGATTACCCCATCGTTATTATCTTTAAACAAATTACGAAGTAAAATTATACTACAGTTCGATCAACTATTATACAATAGCACATTTAAACGATGGTATAATTTTCCCAGTACTGCATTCAATCTGAGGTGATCGATCAACTTTGAATGTCACTATAAAAACCTTACACTTATACAATGATAGCTAAAATGTTAGTAGGTAATAAAAACCAGGGTTTTCGAACAGAATGTCTTGGTAAAATATGAAGACCATACATTAAAAACTTCATTTGCACATTATCCACCAATTGTCTCTTACTAACTTTATCGTCCTTTCATTCTTGTTATTATTACAATTACACCTTGATTACATTTCTGTTCTCCTTAATACGGTCTTCTTAAATGTCTGCTTTCAGGATTTTCACTTTTAATTGGTGGTACATGCTACTTATATTTGCCAATATAAGTAGCATACACCACACCAATACTTCTGTGAATGGGAACACAAGTGGCGGATAACCAATGTATTTTAACATGTAAAAACACAATATCTTGGTAAAATATGAGAACCATACACCGAATACTTCATTTTCAAATTCATATCACTTGTCTTTCACATTCTCTAGGATTCTTTCGATTTACAATTCTTTTCGAATTCCGATCCTATTCTCATCAAGTCAACCTTCATAGCCATCTGCTGCCAAGTTTTCCACTTCCGATTGATGTTACATACTATTTATGTCGATAGGCATAAATAACATTCACCACGCTATTGTTAATTTATACTCTTTAATGTTATTTATCATAATGAGATGTATAATCCATTTAATTGTTATCGTTAATCAACCATGTCATATAGATAAAACTATTTATGAAATATAAATTGCAACATTCACTTAATTAATATTTTATTATTTATGTTTACGGTAAAGGTAGGCTAAAGGTAAAAACTGGTGGTGATGAAAATAATTCATTTGTGGAAGAAGAGACGGGTAAGATAAATTTTACCAGATATATATTCTGAATTAAATAGATTGGAGTGACTGGAATACAATAAAAGAGTACAATATTTCTGGAACTGGAGGTAAACAAGAAAGAACAATGCAGTTCACAGTACCTCAAGGTGAAATGTAATAAATTGATATGTTTGTTTTCATATTGCTCAAATAGTTCTACGTTCTTTTTCTCGTAATCTAGCTAGTATTAGAAAGTAATTATCTACAACATAAGGTTAATTTCCATCACAAACAAATATTAGTTGAAGAACTGTTAAAATATAAAGAACAATGTAGGCAGAAATAGATGGTGGCTAGCAGTAGAGTACATGACGTGCGTTTCGTCCTACTTAGGACTCATCAGCTGTATGCACCTGCATCCTAGAACTGATGTTCACTCCAGAATTCAAACCCATTAACGTTCACTTCAAAAGCCAGTATGTTATCCACTTAGCTACCGAGTCCAGTTAGTCACTAGCTTGTGCAATGAGGTGAAGTTTTTATTCATTCTGTTTTGGTTGTTTGAATCATCCCATCAATGTTTAGAACTGAAATGGTTATTTGGGGAATTTTCATTAGTATCATTTTACAATTTCATACGTAATTACACTCAATACTTTCAAGTCCCACTTCAAATGACGTGCTATCATTTCATCAAAGTCCAAATGTTCATATATTTGAGTATAGCCAATATATGATAATCGACGTTGATCTTTTAATAACTAGGATGATAGTTATCATATATCTATCAGTATTTATTACTATTTTACATGAATCAAACCACCTCAAAGGTTAACATGATGGTATGGGATAATCATACAAAATTACTAGTATATAGTTGGATGAAACTAATCAATGTCCCAATTTATTTTCCGTTACTATAGAAAAAGGATGGGAAGTTTTTACAGAAATCGAGAGTGAAGAAACCATAATACCACGTACTATAAAAATTACCAAAGCACCACATAAAGGTAAGTCGTATTACTGTCCAACTGAGTAAATAATATTTTTCTTTTATACATTATGTAATATGTAAAATATGTCCTTACAAAACCTCTTTAATGAAAAAATACACTTTCGTATGGATAATTCCTTTTGAAATTAAATAATTAACATTCATCATCAATGATAAACTCCATTAGTTAGTCTGATTTTTTATTCTTTAGTCACTTGATTGCCATTTTCCCCAAGATTTGAATTATTCAATTTAATGACGTACTTAGTATTTTATAAATTATAATCAGAGGGGATTTTGTGGATATTATAATAATTTTAATAGTTAGATTCATCAGTCGTGTAAAGCTAAATTACCATCGTAAACCTGTAAGTACTGGACCACCGTTTCGTCTCAGTATGGGACTCCTCAGTAGTGCTCACCTATCTTACCGGGGCGCGGGATTCGAATCCAGGACCTATCAATCTCCATCATTCTTTTCAGTGAGTTACTATCTCACAACAGACCCGGTTGAACTTCACTGGTCTCTGTTTTTTACTAGAACTCCAGGAGACACCTCTTGAAGCCAGTCATTAGTGAACATATGATGATTATAATCAGGACTGATAGGTCCTGGGTTCCAGTCTCCCGAGATGGGACCGTGGATTCTCACAGCCTAGGAGTTTCATACTAGGACGAAACGGCCGTCCCGTACCTTCAGGTTTTCCATTGTGGTCTAGCTTCAATTGACTCATGAATACAACTATTAAAATTTATAAATTATTTATATAGTCCATGAGTAAGTAATTACAGAATAGAATTTTTCTTTATTCGCTAGAGTTTAAACGATAGAATTATGACATTTAAAGGAATCTAATTTATGATCTATAATAAATGAATTTGAATCAAATAAAAAAAATTAACAAATAGTAAAGCTTAGAAAAGTGTGGCAAATATCAATAAGGAACATTTTGGTGGAGTTTTGTTTTCTGAGCTGGATGGAGAACGACATCCAATGGACCAGTACTCTCTCGATTCTACGGCAGACCCAAAATACACAAACCACACGACCAAACCATCCAGCTGAGAGAACAAAACTCCACCAAAATCATCCACCTGAGTTATAAATCTTCTCCACCATCTCAATGAGGAACATTATTTTTGAGGCTAATTATCACCTGATTTATTCGCCAATCGAAATGTGACTTATACAATATTAATACTGTGCCAAACCAATGACTTTCGACTTGTATGAGCAACTTGTCATCCTTATTGATTCTTTTTTTCTCCTAGCTTTTTCAGTTGAGTTAAGAACGGCAACAACATCTTCCACTATGCGAATCATCTATTTCAAACATACTTAGTTTATACACCAGCCAAATAGACCACATCACACCATAATATAGGAAATAAAATTTGTGCAAATAGTGGCTACGAATGTGGGAGACTGTAATCAATAAACTAAACAGAACTTAGGAACAATAAATCGTCTAATAATAGTCTGTAAGTCAAAATGAAGCTTATAATAAGAGGAATATAGATATGCATAATGGAGTTATACAATAAAAATATATAGATAATATTAGTCCATTACTAGGTCTCAAAAGTTAACTGCAATTTAATCTTCACTAGAATATAATAGTATTCAAGTGATTGTAATTTATTATGACTGTACATAATCACCATATATATTTGTATGTCCATATTATATTACCGCCCTTCAATTGTTCGTGGAAATAAGTATATTAATAGGAAAACACAATTTTTCATTATAGCTGTCAAATATTGGCCAATACTGACATAAACTTGTAGAAATACCTTCTTTGTTAAGATAATATCGTTTTTTTCTTGCGTTAACTACATTTCTTTACAGTGCCTCCAACAGGTACGTCCTATATGTATAAAAAATATCATACAATTTTGATACAGTTGCTTGTCTTTACATAATGGTTTACCATTAGTTGATCACAATCATATATATATATATCTAAATTGTAACATCGAGATAATCATATAATATGAAGCACTTAACCATTAGACCACTGAGCCAGCATCCAGCGGTGTTAATATCAAACTTCAACCAATCCACGAAATTGCGCCACCGTACACCATTGTCTTCAGTGAATTGTTATCTCCCAACAGACCTGGTTGAACATACATATCTGTACACGAGTAAGTGTAAGGTCACTTGAAGATAGAATCCACAAAATATGAGGGTTGGGGTAAAAAATAAATAAAGTTCAAGAACAAATAAGATGAATCGTGTGAGGAGAAAAAATGTTGATAAAAGTTTACATAAGTTACATACCATTTAAATATAGATATAGAAGATATAAAACAATGATGAGGAAACTAACTAGAATTCGAAACTGAAGTGTAACATAGTAGTTATAAAAAAATTAAAAAGTTCATTTAAGATCAAAGAATTGAATTAATTGAAGAAACCGATGATTTTGGCGTACAAGAATTAGTTTGGCAAAGAATTCATAACGAAATATCCACTAATTAAGTACGCACTGCTGAAGAGTCTCGTATTGGGACGAAACGACTATCCACTTCCTCAAAGTTTTCAATGGTGCTCTAATATTGGTCGATTCATCATCTGAATTAAGAAATCAACTATCTCTACAACCTCATACTGATAATAATATAATAATAATAATAACAAAAAAGGTAATGATTTCTGGTGATATTAGTCCAAGCTGTGAATTTATCAAAGTAATGATAAGTTGGTTATTATCTCTTTATGTGGATACATAAATGAGATTTGAGTTTCTCAATTACTATTGGTTCGGCAAATCAAAGGATTTAACTAAAATTACTTAGTTACGCCTGTTATTCCTCGTGAAGGAGCATAGGCCGCCAACCAGCACTCTCCTATTGATTTTTTAAGTTAATAGCTAGTAAAATATCATTATTTGTCTGAATTTTATTGAAAACTTTGTAGAGAACTGATACATTGAGAAGTTTCAACCTAAGGTCTTGATAATTAAACAAGTGATGGGAAATTTTCATGATATTGTCATATTTTGAAACAGATTCAGTAGATAAATGGATAATGTGATGGTGTTTGAAGCGAATGGTACTGGGTTCAAGTCCCAGAGTGAACATCAACTCTAAAATGCAAGTACATCCAGCTAACGTGTCTTGAATAGGATGAAACTCGCTTCCTGGATCCCATTGCTAGCCAATATCCATCTTTGTTTATGAAATAGATTTGTTTTGATGTTTTTTTTATGGACTATTCAGAAGCAATATTTTTTTAGTCCTGAATAAAGCTTTTTTGTCTGATGTATTTTAAGATCTCATACAAAATATTACATGAACAGGTTTCCAATAAGTTGAATCGTTCTTCGGTTCATAAAATGTATTTGTTTATTTGAAATCATGAAAAGACAAATATATCTGAATATTCTTTGTAGTTTATGTCTTATAACCGACAAGTTTCGTCTTTATATGGAAGCATAATCTATTTTAACCTAAAATGCACTCTAAATGATAAGAGAATTCAAATTCTCGCCTTTTGCTTCTGAATACTTTTATATCTATCAAAAATTTGGAAGTTTCTTATTTTATGCTCATCTCAGTATGTAAAGTAGTACACAACTTGCTATAGATAAAAGAAATCTTGATCTGAAATATTCTAATCGTTCGAGGTGTTTTTCAGCTAAGATTCATTCAATTTTGATATATTTCATCGTTATTTCAAGAAAATTATTCCTTGGGAACCTGTTTGCTAATGATTGCAGTTGAAACATTTTTCTGCATTAAAAGTATGCTCGACATTATAATAACACCAATCTAGTTACAATTATTAACTGATCATTAGATATTAATACAACTATCAAGCCTCAAGTCTTATTAAATAAATTAGTGGGAGATTAAGCGTTCGCACGCGAGACCGATATGTTTGAATCTCGAAAGGTGGGATCATAGATGAGCACTGCTGAGGAGTCCCACACTAGGAAGAAACGGCCATTCAGGTTTTCCATGGTGGTTTAGTTTAAACTAACCCATGATTTCAACTATTAATTTATATATATATATATATATATATATATATATATATATATATATATATATATATATATATATATATATATGTATATTAGAGTAATAACTAGAAAGAATTAATTGAAAATATAATTGTTTGTTTCAATGTTTCCAGAAGAAACAATTCGAAAGTCAAGAGCAGAAGTTAAAGTTGATAGAAGAGTTACAAGAACGACACCAGGTAAATGAAATTAATAAGTATTTATCTCAAACATTTATGACTTATAAAATCAACTAAATTATAACAATAGATGACTTCAACAGTAATAATATTTCATCAATGTTATGTAATCATTTAATTAACAAATTACCCAGTTACAATTTTGTATTGGTTTCTTCTTTATTATTGATTGTGTAATAATCTAGTTGTTGAAAGTTGGCCACAAATATATGAAAATATATATTAGATGTGAATGATTCTGTGTAATGAACTATATCATTTTTGATGATTGTTAAGTTACTGTGTTCATTTGGCTAGGTATTTATTCGTCAATTTATTTCTCAATAATAATAAGACACCTTTGATGTCTTTCTTTATGGAATCATCTTTTGTCTTGCATATGCTTTAAGTTAAACATATCTAATTAAAATAATTAATATAAGAGATCAGAGAATAGAAATTTTTGATTGAGATCATGAGTCGATTGAAGCTAGACCAACATGGAAAACCTGGAAGCACTGGACGGGGTTTCGTCCCATTGTGGGACTCCTGGTGGAAAGCCGTGACCAGTGGATCTAATCAGTGTAGGTTAGAAACAGTTGTCTTCCTCAGTACAATGGAAGATGGTCGCGCAACTCCGTGGACTGGCTGAGGTTAGACATGCCGGCTTAGTGGTCGACTTAGTTGAGCGCCTGAAGCGAGACTGATAGGTCCAGGGTTCGAATTTCGTGGGGTGCGGGATTTCGGATGCGCACTGCTGAGGAGTCACATACTAGGACAAAACAGCCGTTTAGTGCTTTCAGGTTTTCCATGGTGATCTAGCTTCAAATGACTCATGATTTCAATCAAAAACTTAACAGTCTCCACAACACCTAAAGTGATAATAGAAATTTTGCTTGCTAGTTAAATGAAAATCATAATAGTCTGTGGGAATAAGAAGCTGATAACAAGGCCTATATTGTTGTAGTGAATGAGAAAAAAACGAGATCGGTCATATGTATTTGAACACACAAATTATAAAACATTTTAGTAAAATCTGAAAACCGCACAGTATATACTTCATTTGCAAAATGTTAATCAATCGTCTCAGACTTCATTGTACCCTCGTTTCCACACCAATCACTATTTGTTCTCATTCTACTTTCATTGATCTTTTTAACCTTGTGCCATGAGGCATTTCACTTTCGATTCATGATACATACTACTTATATCTGTCGACATCAGTAGCATACACCACATTGTAATCATTCAAAAAAGAAACTTGATGATCTTAATTAAAATAAAATTGAGTTATTTGCATTAGATGTAACAAAATAATTTTACATTCAATATGATAACTTTTTGAGCTGATACACATTTAGTTTATTAAGGCATAAATAAACTTGTCGAACATTAATAACTTAGATTTTTGTGCTATTCACTAGATACGAAAACTTCTGAAGTAAAACACTAACGCTGTCTGGTGACAGCAATGATCACAAATTAAAGAAACATTTCATTTATACGAAAAATAATAAGCAACTATGGACTGGTATCAGAAGGGGTTTTGTGGAGATTGTAGTGATTTCAATAGTTGAAATCATGAGTCAATTGAAGCTAGACCACCATGCTTCCAGGTTTTCCATGGTGGTCTAACTTCAATTGACTCATACTCTCAATGATTGAAATTATCGATTGCTTTAAACTATGAACAACACTATATATATATAATTATAATTATTTTTATTTAGAAAAGGAAGAAGATGATGAGGATGAGAAACCAACAGAGGCGAAACAAACTAAAAAGCCTAAAGAAGAAGATGATGATGAAGGTCCAGGTGAGCAATGAAATACTTTTGAAATTTACTTAAGTATGATACATACATAAATATTAATGAGTGAATACATCAAAAAGCTTCATGATACAACGTTGGATATAATAATCAATGTATATAGACAAATATATGAATTCTACTGAAAACAATCTATGCTAAAATATTAAAAACAGAATGAATATAAAGAAAATATATCCGTTGATTCACAAAAAAAACACATTACTCTACAGCCAATCCACGAGATTGCGTCACCGTCTACCATTGTCTTCAGTGAGGTACTATCTCACAACAGACCCGATCGAAATCGACTAGTCACGGCTTCTCACTAGAACTTCAGGTAATAACTCTTGGTCATAGTTCATAATAGAGATTAGAATGAATAGGTTGTGAAAGGTATTAAATACTAAAATTACCACATTTTAGTTACAAGTGACGTAAATAAAATAGCTCATTTATTTTTGAAGGAAACACTGATGATAATCTAAAAAAAATGGTCGATGGAAATTTCCCTATTCGAACACTGATTATGAATAATATGTTTGTTTAATGTTTTATTTACGCCTGTTACTCTCAATGGAGCATAGGCCTGGAGCCTCTCTGGGGCTACTGCTGGTCCCAAGCCTGGATAAGGGAGAAGGATTGAGTATAGGGTTAGCGACCCCGTCCCGTAGAAAACCAACTCGCTAGAAAAACGCTAACCAGAAAAAATTATGAATAATATAATAACACCTAAATCTTTCATCTGGGCTATGCCTTTATACAAATAGAGTTAGAACTGTAAAAGAACATACTATCTTCCAACAAGAAATTATGCTTAGTTAGTTGTACCTTTTATTAAGTACCACCAGATTATACTGATATTTTGGTGAGACTATAATTTATGGATGACCTTTGAGTGATGCCAAAGTGACATTGAGAGTATTCATTTATTAACCAGAACCAAATGAGCGTCATAAATTTGTGTGAGGAATAAGAATTATGATTTACAGTTGATGGTTAAGGTTAGTAATTAGATTTCGGGTTTTCATCACGAATTGACATCAGCTATGATGTCAAAACTCTATTTATTCAAATGGATGAGTGAATTTCGCACCAAAATCCGAGACCTGTTATTTTATACGTGATTGATTCGTCTATAAATTATAGGCTTGTCGACTTTTTTTTATTATTGCTTATGTAAATTTTATTTTCATTAGAGTATGAACGAGACTTTCAAAGAGAAATCAGAATTGGACGCAAAAGGAAAGGTAATTTTTACACTATTTATAAAACAAAAGGTTTTATTTTGTGAATTGAATATTTATTACAATTTAGTTTATTATAACTAAAAGTTATCAATAGGTAATTTAATAGTTAAATTCATAAGTCAATTGAAGCTAGATCAAGATGGGAAACCTGGAAGCACTGGAGGGCCGTTTAATCTTAGTATGGGGATCTTAAGCAGTGCACATCCACGATCCCACCTTGCTGGATTTGAACCCAGCACTTATCAGTCTCGTGCGCAAACGCTTAGTGTCTAGACCGCTGATCCGGAATCCAACGGTGTTAATGTCTAACTTCATCCAATCCATGAAATTGCGCCACCGTCTACCATTGTCTTCAGTGAGTTACTATCTCACAACAGACCCGATCGAAATCGACTAGTCACGGCTTCTCACTAGGGCTTCAGGTATTAACACTTGGAAACAGTCCCTAGTGAGCATATGATGACTACAGTCAGAAGGGGAATTTTGTGGATAATGTAATAATTTATTAATTGAATTCATGAGTCAGTTGATGCGAGACCACCATAGAAAACCTGGAAGCTTTAGACGACTAGTTTTTCCATGTTTTCCATGGTGGTTTAGTTTCAATTGACTCATGATCTCAACTATTACAATTACGATAATATCCACAAAACCCCTCTCTGATTATAAATAGGTGTTTAGTTTATCTTTGATAAATTGTTATTGACAAATGTTAATACAGTATATTATGTAATAACTTTTTTCAGGGACAAAGTAAATGGGAAAAAGTTTACATTTTCTCCTATATTATCTATCTTAATATAAAACTATTTATCTTTCTCATAATAATAGGCAAAAAAATTGGTGAAGAGGTTTCAATAAAATTACCTAAACAAGTTCGGAAGTCAAGTAATTTACATTATTCTTCACCACATAATTTATTAATAATTCCTTTATCATTAATATGTGTTTAAAATGTATTGCATGCTTTATTGTCGGCTATAAAATATAAAACGATGTGCAGATTGAAAGAATTCACTTGAAGTTAATTACTTACTTACGTCTGTTACTCCTCGTGGAGGAGCATAGGCTGATTATCAGCATTCTCCATTCAACCCTGTCCTGGGTAGTCCTTTCCAGTTTTTTTTAGTTGCCTATCATTGTGTTAATGTCTGATTCCGATTCCTGATGAAGTGTGTTCTTTAGTCTTCCTCTTTTCCTCTTCCGTTCAGGATTCCAAAATAGCACTCGCCTAATGATGCATTTTATTGATTTCCTAAATGTTTACCCTATCCAGTTCCAAAGTTTTTGCCAAATTTTCTCTTCAGTTGGAAGTTGGTTTGTTCTCTCTTACAGTAGACTGTTACTGATAGTATCCGGCCAAGGAACATTCAGTATCTTACGTAGACAACTATTTGCAAATACTTATACCCTTTTGTTTATAAACACTACGACTATTAAAACTCTGTCTGACTTAACATAAACAGTTAGAATATCGATCTACTAAGATATATTGTTGTTCACAAACAAATATCTTTATAACACATACCAAAACTAATAGGAACCAATACAATTGTCTTGATGTAATTTTCTAAACATGAGGCTTGTAGGTACTTGAAGCAAATTTTGACGTCATAATTAGTTTGAACTGATAAGGAATCTGATGTTGGGAATAAACAGTCCTTCAGTTCTTCCTAGTTTTGTCTAACTAGTCGTCCAACTAAAGTTATTCTAAAGTGAAAATTATCTTCAAAGTTCAGTAATCACTACAAACCTTGTTATTGTTATCTTATATAAATACTATAAAATAATGATTTTAACTAAGTAGTTTTGAACTGAATCTTTGTTGTCTGGGTTGTTAAAGTATAGAAATAATCTCAATAGTTAAGATCACAAGTCAACTGAAACCATACCGCCATGGAAAACCTGGAAGCACTGGACAGCCGTTTCGTCCTGCTGTGGTACTCCTCACCAGTTGTCTAGCTTCAGTTGACTCATGATTTCAACTATTGAAATTCCTATAATCTCCACAAAACCCCTTCCGATAGAAACAATCGTTTATATATAAAATATGTCTACTGTTATAACTGATTTTTAAATAATTCTAAAGTTAAGTACTCAATATTTATTTAATAAAACCTGAATGATTTGGTTCAGTTGTCTTGAGTGCTGTTAGAGGTATCAGGGCGGTTATCACTTCCCGGTTGCCCACACCGTGGAAAGGTTATTCTGGAGGTACCTGAAAGGGAAATTGGATTAGAGGTGGTCTTAGTGACCTGAGAGCGTGACCTTAGTGCCCAAGGTAGAACTGCTTGAGGTCGGTCACACACGACCTTTTTATGAGTAATTTTTGTGTTAGCTCCGTACTTGTTGAGACCTTATCGCCGGAGACGGATATCCGTGGGATAAGGTGAGGTGTGCATTTTTAGGGTAGACCTTTTCTAATCCCACTCCTCCTTGTGGGAAGGCAGCATCTCTGTCATGCTGGTTGTCTGAAGGAAACACGTTACTGCTGTCACACCTCTGTACATTCAGCAGTACGACTTCGCCCTCAGACCTTGTGTTATCTGTTTTTAGTCTTACCGCTCTCCAACCAACCTGTCTGGCATTGTAGGACCTTGAGAAACGACTGTTCCAGCCAGTATAGCTCGGTTGCTTCATCACGATAGGCAAGCCCGACCACCACGTCAAGGTAGCAACAACGGCCGGGATGATTTGGTTCATTTGTCTATAAATTCTTAAACCGTTTTCAGTTTATTGCATAATTAAATTATGATAACTATTAAGTCTTAAAACTAATATAGGTTATCTCATAGTAAAGAAAAACTCCTAACTGATTCATAGAAATGATAAGTCTATTAAAAATATTGTTTTCATTTCAATGAGTGTCTAGTTCATAGTCATTTTACAAGAGATTGTTTTGATTATTTATTTGATTAAATAAAATCAAAATTTTTGTAAACTAGATAAGCATGGAAAATCTAAAACTAATGCATATTATTTAAACTTATCTTCACTTCTGGAGAGCTTATTCTATTCTTGGTTCACTAATAGCTCTGATAATTGTTACTACTAACATAGCTCTAAACATTATTTGATCTTCAGAAGGTGAAATATAGCAATTAGACAGATTTGTTTCAAGTACACAACTTATGTGGTGCAACCAGCAGTCAAGGATCAATGGGGGGGGGGAAAGGAAGGAACAATATTTACTATTCTAATTATTTCATATAAATGGATAAGTCATGTCATTTATGTACTATATCGATAGTTTTAAACGACTAGTGTTTTGGTAAAGAAGCGGGCAATTTTCGTAAATACGTACATAATCATAGAAGGTACGTTTATAAAAGAGTGTAGGCAAATTATTCAGTATTAAAATAACAGTTTATTCTCATACCATACAGTTTAAAGTGTTTGATCCTCTTGAACACATACAAGCCTGCGTATACGGTAAGGTGGCATAGATATAATTTAAATTTTTATTCCATATAATTAATCTGTGTAACTCAGAGCAGTCGTACTTTGCTCATCTGTTTGTTTTTTTCTTTCTGAACAAACACTAGACGATCCAGCTTTTTATAAGAACTAGAAGAGATACATAAGAAGGAAAACAGAAAAAACAACATTATGATGTACCCAAGTGTTTTTTAACATGAAGAAAATCACCGAAAGATAACGTTTTAACTTTTCAATATTTTCTCTTAATAGATTTCAAATTAAATTTATCATTTAAAAGAAATCTGTATTAGTGTTTTATTTAAGCGGTTTGTTTAAACGGTTGGTAGTAAATAAAAATGAAAGGTAGTATATATGTTTTATTGATTAACAAATTAATATGGTAACTAAAAGAATACATTAATATCTCTAGGTTATTAATGGTACTGTGTTCAATATTCACATTACGCAATAATGTTCAACTAATGAGGTCAAAATAAAATACTTTCATCTTCTAATTCAATAATAGTCATAATGTGGTGTGTACTACTGATGTCAACAGATATAAGTAGTATGTATCGTCAATAGAGAGTAAAATGTCTGGTGACAAAAGATTAAGAAGATCAAAGAATAAAGAACGAGAATAGAGAGTAATTGATGTGAAAACAATGTGTGTGTTCAAATACATTCGATTGACCCTAGTTGTGTTCTCGTTCAGTCAGTCTGTCAGCTACAACGTAGGACTAGACACATACATTCATCGGTCCAAGTTGACACACCCCATTAGTACAGCAAGACGAACACTGGATTCATGGAAGTAGTTAACTCAATGCTGTAATATATAAATGAAAGATTTTATGTAAGGACATGGTAAAGAAGGAAAGATATGAAGCGATTTTAGTCTCTTAGATTAAGGAAAGACAAAGAGTGTATACACCTTCGCCAATGTGACCGATTCTGAGCCATGTCACCCAGAGTCTCCAACCATTGGTTACTATAGTCGCGTGGACTCCAGCCAAGTAGTCTGAATCTACCAATATGGTTTAGACTAGAAGTTAGTGACTTCAACCACTGATGCCACTTTTGGGTTTGGCCAACCCTAACTACAATAATAATAGATTATGTATATAAAACTATTTTCGAAAATGTATTTACAAATGAAAGTTGAATAAGGTCAAATTATGCTGATCATTTGGAACTCCAACCTTTTTAATTCATAGTGTTTGATAAGAAGTTCATCCAACAAATTTAGCTAATAATTAAATTAAAATTTAGAGATTGATGGATTCGAATTTATGAACTTGCATAAAGCTTCTGTAAAATTAGTAATAAATAGTGAGAAGTGAAACATTTGACTTTAAACCGTCTGGTTTACATCTATAATACATATTAACATGCACGTCTGTTGGATAAGAGATAAAATCCAACAAACTAACTCGGTTTAATTCAGCGTCATCATTTGAGAATAATCGTTCTAAATATTTTGAAAAATAAGCTAAGATCGTTAAAATAAATTGCTGGACAATGAAAGGTAGTCGTCGTGGTTAAAATTAGAAATTGGCACCGTTGAATGACGACTCAGTGATCTAGAGGTTAATCGTTCATCAGTCTCATTTGTGGGATCATGGAAGCGTACTGGTGAGCAGTCGCATCCCAAAAAGAAGCAGTCACCCAGTGCTTCCAAGTTTTCAATGATGGTTTAACATTGATTGATCCGTCGTCTTAATTAAAACTCAACAATCTCAACAACCCTACACTGATAAATTATATATCTTTATTTCTCATCATTTTTATATTTAAATAGTCTTGTTCAGTTGTTTAAATAAGGGCACTATGAAAGAAGTATTCAAAACATGTATACCACAACCGCATATATAATTTTTTATTAAGATTGAAAATGTACCGAACGATCAGTTGGAATGCTTTGGTATTCTGAAGCAAGTTTAACAGAACTAATTGAGTACAGATGGATAATGGCTAGCTGAGGAATCCAGAACGCGCGTTTTGCCCTATTCAACACCCGTCAGTTGGATTAATCTGCATGAGTTGATGTTCATTCTAGGGTTTGAACCCAGTACTGTTCGCTTCAAATGCCATCGCGTTGTTCACCTAGCTACTGAGTCCTGATAGCCGTTTGCTTGTGCTATCGGATGTAATCTAAATATCAAGAGAATTAACTGAATTTATTAGGTTCCTGATGCCTGGTAAAAGTAAATAATAAAATAATATGATGTCAATTTGAAAATTGAAGTATGATATGCCATTCTAAATTTCACAATTTTCGACAGCTGAGTACGTTTAGTCTTTTTCGTGAGTTCAGGCAGATAGAATTAAATAGGGATGTCTAAGCTTTTATTTATAGAAAAGGAAGCTTTTTAAAAGTAATTTATTATATTTGATATGAAATTGCTTAGTAATCTCTTTGCAGAAATACTGAGTGATGTCTTCTTTAGTTGATTATTCACTCCACGCATCTGACTTACATTTGATCCTAATCGATAATCTTTTCATATGTGACATTATACTACTAGATAAT